CAGATCGTGGTTAGCTGGTCTACTTCGTCTGAAGACTGGACAACGTTCACGGTCTTGTTGGGACTAAGGGATGTCGCGGTTGTGCAAATCGGCGAACTCAAGCCAAGTGCTCTAATTTTCCATATTTGCGGCAGGTAGTCTGTTTATTATGACCTTCATCGTCTAATAAATAATGGCTTCCACGTCGGTAACAGATAAAAGGCAATTCGGACCGTCTCGTGGTAACACCATTTCGGTCGACTGCTTGGACTGTATCTGTATGAGGTTGCGAGGAAAAGGTTGCTAACTGGTTATGGACATTCTCCAGCTGTCGAACAATATTACAGGCCTTCTCTCAGCTCATCGTCATCTCATGTTCGGACAGCAACCTTTCACGAGCCTGTTCGTTAAAAAGATACCGGATATCAAACACCGTCAAGTCAGCAATTTTCGAACTTCGTAAATGGGATTGCACTATACCGACATTGTAGTAGGGCTTGCCGAATCCACTCAATGAAATCATTGACACTTTCTTCAGGGTTCTGACTTCAGTTCGAGAAATGATGTCGCGCAGTTTATATGATTAGTTCTGAACCCGATTACCCCGCTGAGGACTTCTAGCGCGCTGTTGACTGTCCCCTTCTCACCGACATGGAGGGCATCAAAATGTCTTTGGCTTTCACGCCCCAGAAATTGTCTCAATGATTTAATTTTGTGGCTCTCTGAGAGTACCGTGTTAGATTGCAAGACTGATATTAGCTCCCTATAATGCAAACAATTGCGATTTCAATAGTTTCAGGTAGCCGGTGTTGGTTTCTCTGAAGGAATATTCCCAAGAAGTGTAGGACGGTGCAACATCGCAATAGTTTTACCTCGTCGCCAGAATGTTAAGTATAGCGGTTAGCCGCACACGCATAATATGGAATCGATTTACTAAAAGCTTGCGTTACAGTGGCTAGAACAGCCGGAAAAAAAGGAAGGAACAGATGACCGAAACAACCAGAATGGCTATAGGTCGACGCAAAGGCAAAAGGTTAGGAGCAAAACTATGCGCGGTAATTACGTGGGCGTAATAAATTCGAAGGAAGAGGTGTTAGGCGGCTAAACAGAGCGAATATTCATGAGCTACTTACGACATTAGGCTGCGCCCACAGCTTGGACGGGCTTTAGGTTGGACGCGCGAACAACCGTCCTAGTGTGGAACACTGGGAGGGTATGAGTGGCTGGAAAATTCGGACGAGCGTCGACTGGGTGAACGATGCGGACATGCGGCCAAACATGACATACCGAGGAAAATCAGTCAAGTGGATTATGTTCACCTTGGCTGAGACCAGGAGGTCGATGATGGCGGCAGTACGGTTTCCATAAGCAGAATGTATGGTTGGCCTCTAAACGGAGCTGTCGCTTATCAGTGAACACCCTGCCTACCTAGCCATGACTTTTGGTTCTAAGGCTGAATTGGGTGTCAAGCAGAGCAGATCGTAGGCAACAGCACCGCAGTCGAAGCAGTGCAACAAGGAACCATTTGCACACTCTTTACCCGTTATGGAGCTAGTCGCCAATGGTTTTGGGGTCAATTGCTGATGTACATTGTGCGATTGAGTCCCCCTACGAGGAGTAACCACTTGCAGCGCAACTGCATGCAACCTGCTTTTAAATGAAAAGCATATCAGTGGCTCGGGCCCTGGTCTTATAATTTTGTGCACTATTAATGTGAATAGTTTGAGCCCTCGGTGATCTTGTTAGCCTAAGTAAATTGTATGATTACTCTAGGTCGGTGTCTCTAGTCTTTAAGCGTAGTTAGGAAAGCAGACTACTTCGGAGTTCGTGATAGTGATGTAACGCGTACACCACCATTCGTCTGGACATCTAGCATTCCCTGGCTATTCCCTTTGTAGCGCGGGTGGAAACAGGCAACTTGTATATCGACTGGACTATGAAGCTATCTATAGAACGTTGCGAGGATGTATCGCCACTGCTGCGAGTCATGCGCTTGGATTGCCAGTTGCGAGCCAATAAGAGATCGGACACGTCGTAGACGAAAATGGATCGTTAAAGGATAATTTTGTGGCGGTCACCCGAATAATTACTAGCCCTTGAGATTCACCCAAGAAAATACTTGGCATTATGCAAATCCCACTGGATCCATTTAGGAAGCAGTACACTGATTAAAGAATAGTTGTTATTCAAAGATTGCAATGCTATAGGAAAGTGTCATAGCTTGCCCTAAAGTGTCAACTTTGAAAATGAGTTATACGTATTAATGTTGGATGTTTGTGAGTAGTGTAAAGTTCGTAGAAAGTAGAAGTCACGATTAAAATTCACGCACAATGATATGCCTCGACGGGGAGTCGAACCCCGGTCCACGAATTTCCGGTCCGCTGCTCTACCACTGAGCTACCGAGGGCTGATAAGTAGGTGCGCAAATTTTAATACATGTCTTCTGCTTGGTGCGCGACGTATTGCCAATAAGCTCGCAGTACCTGTCCTATTGGGAAGTGGCGGGTGAGTGAGCCAATCTGCAACATCAGGACAAGTACTGTGAGCTTATTAGCAATACGTCGCGCACAAAGCAGAAGACATGTATTAAAATTTGCGCACCTAATCGTCAGCCCTCGGTAGCTCGGTGGTAGAGCAGCGGACCGGAAATTCGTGGACCGGGGTTCGACTCCCCGTCGAGGCACATTATTGTGCGTGAATTTTAATCGTGACTTCTACTTTCTACGAATTATACGTATTAGTTCAGTGGGCTTAAGATATTGTGAAAACGTTTAAAACTTTTCTTTGAGCTTATAGTACGCTTTGAAAGAGACAGTTTGAACACAAACACGATTATTATTGACCTTATGAATTAGATTTTGCATTCAACCGAAGGTTATTCCGGGCGGTTAGATCGTCGTGAGTTCGTAAGATTCCTTGCACACACTATGCAAACCAAACGATCTAACATACAGCGCAGCACAGGAGAGAGTTTGCCTTATATATGTTGGCTGGTAACACTCAAGTTCCAGCGGCTTCAGCAACGGTGCTAGTGATGGAACTGATCAAGGTGCTCTTTATTGTGAATCACAGTATACATTCAGATTGCACATCGCAATCCATTCACACAACGAGTACTGCAAATGACCCTCCTATCAGTCATGAACCGTTGTACCAAGCGTTAGACATTGTTATCGGGCAGCCAGAGAGATAAAGGTTTCGGCTAATATTCCAGTGGTTCTGGGTTCAAGGCATGCTATCTCCACCTGGCGAGATCAAACAGGGTGGAAACGCGTCGTGGTATGCAGTGATTTCGGGCGGGAAATAAATAAGTTTTATCTGTTTCGGCTACGGTCCTAGGGATCGAATTGACCAACGTTCAATTCAGTGCGAATCGCGGTCTAAAATGAGATTGTGCGTCGCAATCCTTTCACCGAACGACTACTTCAAATGAGCATCCAATCAATCATCAACCATCGTGCTAAGCATTTCCTGTCGTGACACGTTGGCTAAAGTAGTAGCGGTCTCAAATGATATCTCAATAACCCCGGATTCGATGCCTGTTATCCCTATATCATGAGATCAAACAAAGTTGGAACGTATTCTGAGTGCAGTATTCTCGTGCTCGAAACACCCAACTTACATGTGCTCCAGTTACGGTCCCAGATTGGCCATACTTTGTACATTTCAGATGAAGTAGATGGAACAGTGAGAGCATGTCAGCCCAACCTTTACTTTCTTAGAGTATGCTTCCGAACCATGCAGTACGTCTAGGCTGACTGTCGTTTGCCGTTTTTACGGCGAAAGCTGCAGACTGAAAGGTTGTTTCGCAGATTGTCAACCTCAATTAGCCGCCCCTAAGGCCGAAGTTACAGGATCAACATTGCATTTGGGGGACTATGAGCTGCATAATAAAGGCGTTGGTCCAATTCGCTGGTAACGCATCGCTTTGGGTAGAACCCCATGAGTGCGTCTACGACGGGGTTGCGCAGACAGAGCCTATCTACCACCACCTGACCATGTGAAGAGCGGGGCATTCGGGTGGCTACGAAACTGCGAAAGACTCAATATGTGAAATCGTATAGCTGTCAGTAGCTACTTCACACAATTTTACACTGGAACGGGAAAAGATTGTGCGAACGGCATTTAAAGGTCTTATCGAATGTGAGCAAAATGAGGTGTTGGCTGGTCGTGGTCATGGGAAACGACGAAGTATTGCCTGAACATGCAGTAGTGGATCAATGTGGGCTGCAGTGAACTTACTGCCGAAAAATGTCCACAGGCTGACGCGGATCAAGTAAGGCAGCACAAGCGTAAAAATAGTGAGGTGCAACAAATTTTGTGAAGTAGCTGTGGGAACAATGGGTGCAGAATATTAGGGAGTGTTTGTAATCCTAGGGACGACGCGTGATGCTCAGGCGCCATATCAGTTGACAGCGGCTTGTCCTTCATTCACAGTTACTCATCATGGCTACTTCACGTGGAAAAGACACCGACATTTTCGCCATTTACGATGAAGAGGATACTAAGACTAAGTTTAGCTGGCGTTGAATAAAGGACTTGTCTGGTGTGTGGCACAGGAACCATTTTGAAAGTATCATGTAACGCAGCTGGACAGGTATCGGAGGCACGGAGACTACACATCACGCCAAGGCCTTGTGTCGTCGCTGTTGGATCGCTCATGACTCATAAAAGGGTACACAAGAATTATAAAAGTTTTACCCATTTCTGTGCTTTTTAATGTGAACTGCCGACTGAGTTATAGTAACGTTAACTTTTCCCATTTTTCGGTTGATCAAACCGAATACCTATAAGCGGGTTGTGAGAATCATGTTGGCTAGGCACCCTACAATTTCTGCACAACAATTCGATCCTCTATGGTCTATTGAAGAAAGCCAATAATAAATTTCAATGTAGAAGTGAGTTAACAGAGTATTCTCCTAAAACGATATATTTCACTAAAAAAAACAAATTTGCATATGTGCGAAACATTCTAGGAAATCATTGGCTACGGATGGACGTGTACCGATAAGTTTACTTACTTTAAAAAAGTAGTGGAAAACATTTTGTTTTTCTCCATAGGTTGCCCCACTCGCTACGACGTAGGTGAGCAGTTTTAACTTATCCTGAGTGTGGGATAGGTCAAAGTAAATTGTGCCAGCCTCACCGTTTTTCCATAGTGAATCGTAGACTTTTCAACTTGAATGTGGTCTCTAAAGTTGTGGTGAGGCTTTCGCTTTCGGTAGTCTTCGTCGGCAAACGGTAATTCTGGGTCATTCTGTGTTCCAATTGAGTTAGCAATCGCGGCTACGAGAAGTGGTTACCTCATCAGGAAATGCGCTTTTTGCCCACGTCAAGACGCTTGAAAGTAAAATGAAGAGCTTCTGCGTTTGCAGTTGTGCAATATTTTCATGTATTTTTTCCACCATCCAAAGGGCCTCATCAACCATCTCGGGATCATCTTTGATGTTGTACAAAATGAAGTCACAGTTCACAACAGCTTCGTACAACTCTTTACGTCGGCCACTCTGGTAGACATAAAAATTGCAAAAAATCTGTTAACAGCTGATTATCAAGATATTCGAGACTTGTTGATAAGCTTTTTCATTTAGTTTTGATCTGTAATTGACGCGTAATATTTGCATACTTGGTATGTAAAATCGGAATCAATCTTATCATCGACTATGTGATTCCTTACTGTACACTCTAAGATGTGGGGATTTCTCTCACAGCTGAAAGCAATAATTATCACGGCTCTATCTTTCTTACAAGTGCCCCCAGCTCAAGTACATACCAAGTCCGAGAGCTGGGTATTGGATACTCCAGCAACCCTAACGTTTTCGAACATATCCAGCATCAAGTAACAAGAGCGAAAGAACTAACAGGTTGCATATCACTATCATTTCACTCTTCTAAACAGGACTGGAAATACTGAAACTCATAGTGCGACCTTCATTAGAGTACGGCTCCATAGTCCATGGCCACTTATACAAACAGTCAGGATTGTTTTAGAAAACTTCCTGCGCTCGTTCACCAAAATAATCTTGCGGAGCAAGCCAACGCCTAGCCACGAAGAACGATGGCGCAAACTCCATTTTAACTCACTTTGGCTGGAACGGTTGAAAACAGTTTCACTCATAGCTACAGCAGCATACATTTGCCATCTTTCTAACTAGTTCGCCCTTGTAATATGAATTATGTTGATGTATCCCCTCATAATGGGAGGTACCTACGAACATCATAGAAGGCAAAGAAAAATAGGTTTTAATTATTTGCTGTGGGACATACCCATTTGCGAAATTGGCTCCCGTCGCAACTAAAGACGAGTGAGGAATTGCCATCGTTTAGAACTCATCTCTAAACTTCAGCCAACCACAACCTACCAGCACACACATGGAGCCTGGCCCGAACTGCATGCTACAGCTCGCTTTCCAATATGTACCTTACTATGTATTCTATAAAATTGGTGCGTTATCGATCCCTATTAACTGCAAAGCTGTTTACTGATATGCGGATGAATCCCACAGTTTATAACCTTAGACCACCTTTTCGAAAACTCAGGTAATTGGACTGTTTAGTGTATCTAAAACATCAGATAACTTGTTCAGATTTGCGTTGTGTAACCTCGTGCGAATGATTCTTACGCAACTGGAAGCGCATCCTGTCTGTCGTGAAGTATGGCCATTTATTTAGTAATTTAGTTATGCCATTTCAACTTCTTACTTCGACGAATTTCAGGTCAAACTACGTGGAGTGGCTGATACTAAAGTCGTTTGTTATTCCCCATGTAGCGAGAGTGGCAGGCTCATGCTAACAGACTACTGGCCGGTACCGTTCCCAGTGATTGAAAAGAGAAGGCACGAAAGTAACGGGACGAGAGTGCATTGTGGCACACTGTTCCCGTGTATTGGGTAAAAATTATGACACCGGACGACGCAAGCTAGCTAGGGAAGCATGTAAGGGACCGCGCGATAGAGCGACGTGTTGAATCCCACCGTGCCGCCGTGTATGTAGCGCGCTTGTGTTAGGTCAGACAAAAAATACAACATTACATAACAGCATTTAGCAAACAACCTCTAAGGGTACAATAAGAAAATAATGTAACTCATTATTTTACACAACATACGCAGGCAATCCAGGGGAATCTCCAGACTGCTACAACCCTATAGGTGTGCCGTTGAATGACAATTTAACCACTTCGGTTTCAGTCCGAGTAACTGAAATGGCATAGGTTTGCTTCAAAACAAACTGTGGCCTCAATCGAGACTGCTTGTCGCAATCCAGACCCATTGCGGGTAATCCAAGACCCAAAAATGAACCTCTAGCCGCTGTGTCAAGCGCTGTTCGTAGAGATTTGGCTTAGTGACTAAGACGAAAGCCGTCAATCCCTGTTTCGGATTTCACTTTCAGCCCAAGCTATCTCTACCTGACGAGTCCAAAGTAGGACGAAACCGGTCGGTAGTGGAGTGCTGCAATGCGAGAGAGTAGCTACGAAATTCTCCACTACAGCATAATTTTTCACGTGGGACGCTAAAGCTACCAACCCAGTCGCGTTTCTTAAGCATACCCCTAAACTTGTCTGTTGGTAACTCAGGCAAGTGTTGTATAATCTATCACATTCGGTTATCTTCGGTTGTAATGTTACTTGCTGGCCCATATAGTATATTAAATGTTATTCCAAGCGCAGTTAATGAGCGCAGGGGAAGAATACACAGAGCGTAAGTGATGAGTTCACAATCTTTGTTCGATAGAAGGATAGTGCATAGATCCAATTAACTGGGGGTATTGGCTGTTAAGCAACAAGTCTGTATCACCCGATTTTCCGCCTGAGATGAAAAGTATTAGTATTAAAAAGTAAGGTTAATTGCCAAGGTAGAAACCTTGGTGTTATATTTTTCAGAATTTCCATGGTTTCTATTTTACCTGTCTGGCAGATAAATTACCGCTTCGGCTGAATCGGACCGGTATTATGGAAGAGCATCAAGCATCCAGTTTCGAAAAGTGAATTCAAACCACTCACTGGATAAAGAAGTATACTTTTCCAAGTCGGCGATTCCTCTCATACCAGTATCCTAACCCCGACATCAACTTATTTTCCATTAAAGAAGCTTTCTTTCAGATTCCAATGAAACTTCCACGGAATTCGATTGCCAAATGTAGCAGCGAGAGATCTACATTCGTCGCTTGTGCAGTGTGCTGCGGAAAGCTATCTTACAATGAGAATGGTTCGTTCACGCTAATAAGTATGCTGGATCCGTCTAGCTGCTTGCCAGTGCGGTTCCCAATAGTCAAGGCGAAGAGTGATAGAACGAATGTGCATTGGTAAGCTGCAAGATGATCTCGTGTATTGGATAAAAAGCGAAAACGGTACGACGCGTGTTAGACGAGGAACAATGTCTGGGTACCGCGCGATGCAGTGGCGTGTTGGACCTAACCGTGGCGCCGTATGTGTGTGAGGTGCCCAAGGAGCAGAGGAACAAATTCAACATACATTACGACATTGTGCATCAAACACATAAGCGTCATACGAGAGGGTTTTAGTCAGTGTTTTAGACAACACGAGCATACCCAGGGAACCTCCATATTGTTATGATTTGTACTCTGATAGGTTTGTGCTGTTACTCTGTGCTAAATATGCTTCCGTGCATTCCGTAATGCAATCAGATATAAACTCTTAGTGTTGGTCAGCGATAGTAGGCAAACAGGACAGGCTGTAGAAATAACAAGTTGGTGACGTATGCGTCGAACTGATATCCAAGTTACTTATATAAATTTAACCGGAGGATATGTGATAACTTGGATTGATGTACATGCCCAGACAAGTGGGAATCAACTTCTGGTATATCACTGTTCACGATCGCAATAAAGTGGAGAGAATACAAATTGGATGCAGTGTTGGATGCACGCAAACGACTGGCCAAACTGACAAAATTTCTAATCCAATCCTTGTTATTAATCAATTCAGATAAAGATAAAGCAAATAAGCTATTATCGGTGTTAGATATGACTAACACAATACTGCTTTTAATCTAGCTACAAAAAAGTTAAACCGTCAGCTGTACGCTGTAACGGCACTTCGCTACCGCGCGACCATCACCAGCCGTGCGTGAACAGTATACCGCGAAGACACCCGCCCCTACGCGGACTCGAACTGGTGACCTTATGATTACAAGCCAGGCGTGCAGCCCAATCGGGCATCGGCCGACCCTTTGGGATAACTAGGCTAAAGAAACAACGCACGTTACCAACTAGTAGGGTTGTGATCACGAAAAAGCAGAAAGAGCCCTTTTCAGTTAATTGCTAGTGAAATTCACGTTACAGCGCTATTCTGTTCACCCCATAAGCATATTCGACAATCATCAGAAGGCAAAAAGAGATGTTATTGTCATCTGCGTTCATACCCACCGATTACTTCTAATTCACGTACAAGTTATTTCATGTATCCAAAGCTTAGTAGGTTGCAATATCAACAGAGGCGTTATCTGAAGGATGTCACGGGTAGGAGAACAATGTATTACTGACAAACCGGCTAACTAACTATACTAACTGTGCTTTAAGAGTGTGCACACTAGTGGGCATAGCCGATGAAACATAAGGGTAGCAATTACTCAATACGTGTTCAATACTGAAAATATGACGTTTTGGTAGCAAAATCAGCACAACACTAAAGTAGTCAAGACGATAAATTCGAAACCGGTCGTGGAGTACGGTGATTTTGTGAGAAAAGCAAAATCCAGTAGACACTAACCTAAGTAAATGTTCATGTTGGAAGCTATTCCTCAGTGAATGGTTGAATGGTGCGCATTCTTTTTCCAAAACACCTTTCAACCGGATTGTACAGTAAACTTTGTTGAGATCTGTGTCATTATTTTCTTTGCATTATACACATGCTGCTGCCTAGTGCAACATCAGAGTTTCAGTTTTGTGACGCTATCAACTGTCGCCCTTAGATTGTAGCAAAGGCTGGTCCTCGAATTCTAGGGATCCCACCTTGCCATAACAGCTTTTCTCACTATTTTTGTGTGCGAAGATATCCAAGGTCCTTTTCATGGGGTTGGTAACAGGCTTTGAAACCGTTGCATGCTATTGTCAAATAATGGCTCATAGTAGTAAACCACATAAAGTATCACCCAAGAAAGAGACAACTGCAGATCTGCGGGCAAAGTAAAATGAAAATTCCCCACCACAAGCTGCGCTGGTTCTTAGCTATGTGATTTGTTAGGCCATTTTCAAAGACACAACTGCTCCTATTGCCGTCCGTTCCCAACTTCCTACCACACTAGATAGAAAGCTGAGTTTGGCAGATAGGTAAACTAGTTGAATCTGCAAGATAGGTCAAATGTAGTTTAGTTTTTTATTTGTCACGCATTTTCATTGCATAAATGTAACGCTTAATGTAGCTTTTAAAAGACATTCTATATTTACGTCTAGGTGACGGTTACCAACCCGTTTCATTATGAACATTCGACTACACGGGTGCTTTAGCGGGACACAAACAGCGGGTGTGTACTCGTCTATGTCATGGCTA